AGATTTCATTTAGATCACTCTCGTTTAGAGAATGATCCTCATTGAACATGCGGAAGTGAATAACAAGTTGAGGTTCATTGCCATCATCATCCTCTTCTAATACTTCCTTGCGGAGAGAAGCAAGGAACTCCAATCTAACTCGCTCATAACTGTGAGCGGAAAGGTTGATGAAGTCACCCCACCCAAAGTTTTGAGCCAGCTGGACCACTTCGTCCAAGATACCGAGTCTCCTCAAGGTTGTAGCACAGAAGAACCTTGTTGATCGAATTGGACGAGAGATGAGTGATTGGTAGACATTCCAGAAATTCTCATTAGGAGCAATGATGTCGTGATCGTTAATACCCGGCGGAGGTGGGAAAGAGGGTGTTGAAGGCTCACCCGCCCTCTTCTTCTTAGATTTGCCTTTACTTTTGCCAAACATTATGACTCTACAAAATAACCAAGAATATCATTAGGAAGATGCAAGCCAAGAGGTGTCATAAAAAGCTTGCCAAGATAAAAAGTGTATGCATGAAAGTAATAGCCATGAATTGTGAAATAGATGTAGAGGATAACAACAATACAATTCAAGGCATTAATAAACACTTATGAACCAAGGCAAGAACGAAAAGTTCATTTGCATTCATATGCAAATCCTAAGATTAGGTGAAATTCAGCATAATGTCCCCTAAATTCATGATCACAAACCATCAACATCAAACCAAGAACAATGAATAACAATCTCAAAACTACATCCAACTCATGAATTTCTCAATCAAAAAGTAGTTGCATGAACAACCTAATGTGAAATCAACATATTCAAGCAAATACATTGAAACCAAATAAAATCAAGGTATACATGCATAATCATCATAAAGCAAGTTCTACTATCAACAACCAATCAATTGCAACAAAGAAATCCCAAGAACCACAAACATCAAACAAGCCATTACTAACAATCTCAATATTACCACAATTCATACTTTAACATGTAAAACATGGTAAGCTAGAAAAACCATACCACTATTGATTGGAAGCAAGTAGAAACTTAAAAGTAGCAATTCACTCAAACCCTAGAAATTGGGAAAATTTTGAAAAGGTGGAGTTTTGTGAGGAATTTTGGGTGTAGATTATAGAAATTGAGTAAAGGATGAAAATTAAGTGAGAAATAGAGAAGATTAGAGTGATTTTGATGGAGATTTGAGGTTGAAATGGGGTGTGACAATGGAGTTTTAGAGTGAGAAGGAGAAGAGAAGAGAGAGAGAGTTGAATGAGGGTGAATGGAGATGAAGAGTTGTGCGGCTTTTCTTTGCCTTTAAAAAAAATTTGCCCGACAAAGGTTTAATCGAACCTTGGGTAGGTTCGACCGAACTCTGAACTTTACCAAGAGTTCGGTCGAACTACCTCAATGTTCTATCAAACCTACTCTCAAACTTTAAAATCAAAAATTGGGAAGAAAGTTTTCAGATTTTAGTTCCAAAATAGGAGCGGCCGAACTACAGATAGTTCGGTCACACCAAGGTTCAGTTGAACCACCCCTGGGTTCGGTCAAACCTACTCTGAATCTTTAATTTCTGCAATTCTGGCAGAGAGCTTTCAGATTACTCTTCTAGAGTAGGAGCGGCCGAACTCAAGAAAGTTCGGTCAAACTTTTTACAAGGTTCGACCGAACCTTCAGGGAGTTCGGTCGAACCACCTAATTTTTCAAAAATTCTCATTTTGCAGCAGTTTCACTTCTAGATTGAGAGTATTCGAACCGCAATAGAGCTCGCTTGGACTTCTATCAAAAAGAAAAGCTTCAAAATTTGCACAAAAACTTCTTTTCAAAACACACTAAAACACCATACAATCATGCTAAAGGCAAGGCATACCAACGATTACAACACATCCAAAACCTAAAACACATAAATCCATCAATCCAAAATTGTAGATAGAAAAATTAAAGCATGAAGGAAAAAAGAAGAGTAAAAAAGGGTTAGAAACTCGGGTTGCCTCCCGAGAAGCGCTTCTTTATGAGGTCACTAGCTTGACCATGAGAAAATATCATCAAGGGGGAGGCTTAGGATCCAAAGTATCAAGCATTAGACATTCAATTAGACCAACTTCTTCCTTGTTAAAGTAATGCTTCCAACGATGACCATTGACCATAAACTTGTTACAATTCGCATCTAACTCAAAAGAACCATAAGGAGTAGTCTTTGATACCACAAAAGGATCCGACCACTTGGACTTTAGTTTACCCAGAAACAAACAAAGCCTTGAGTTGAAAAGCAAAGCCTTATCTCCAACTTTAAAGATCTTGTTTCGTATATGTTGGTCATGCCACTTTTTGGTCTTCTCCTTATACAATCTTGAGCTCTCATAAGCATCATTTCTAAGCTCTTCAAGTTCATTGAGCTTAAGCAACTTCCTCACCGGCCAATGATAAATCCATATTGAGTTCCTTGATGGCCCACCAAGCCTTGTATTCTAACTCAACCGGCAAGCTACAAGCCTTTCCGTAGACCAACCTATCGGGGGTCATGCCGATTGGAGTCTTGTACGCCGTCCTAAGAGCCCATAGTGTGTTATTGAGCTTGAGAGACCAATATTTCCTTGATTTTTTCACCATCCTTTCAAGTAGATTCTTGATGTCACGATTCGAGACCTCTACTTGTCCTTGAGTTTGAGGGTGGTAAGGTAGTCCATCCTTGTGATGAACGCCATATTTTTTAAGAAGAGCTTCAAATTGCTTTTTGGCGAAATAGGAGCCTCCATCACTAATTAACACCCTTGGAACCCCAAATATAGGAAAAATGATCTTCTTTAGAAGCTTAAGCACAACCTTGTGATCATTGGTAGGAGAGGGTATGGCTTCAATCCATTTTGTCACATAGTAAACTGCTACCAAGATATATAGATTTCCACAAGAAGAAATGAAAGGCCCCATAAAGTCCACCCCCCAAACATCAAAGGGCTCAGCTTCTAAGACACTTTGTTGAGGCATTTCATCCCCTTTGGTTATGCCACCACTTCTTTGACACCTATCACATTGTGAAACAAACTTTTGGGCATCCTTATGCACCGTTGGTCACCACAATAAAGATTGAGAAAGTTTTTCCACCGTCTGATCAACACCCCCATGTCCTCCACATGGTAGTGAATGGCAATGCTCAAGAACTCCTTTGATTTCATGATCCGAAACACATTTTCGAAAAAGGCCATCTCCATATTGTTTGAACAAATATGGGTCATTCCAAAAGTACCTCCTCACTTCCTTGAAAAACCTCTTCTTTTGTTGAGAAGAAAACTCCCGGGGAATGACTCCACAAGCAAGATAGTTGGCGATGTCCGCATACCAAGGGCTAGATGTTGAAGCCATAGCCATGAGAGTTTCAAATCCTATCTCATCATTTATTGGTACATCACTTTTGCTCTCTAAAGGTAGCCTAGACAAATGATCCGCAACATAATTCTCCGCTCCCTTTTTGTCCCTTATTTCCATGTGAAAATCTTGAAGAGAGATAACCCAACGAATAAGGCAAGGCTTTTCTTCCTTCTTAGTCAGAGATATCGCACCACAATATGATCCGTATACACAATCACCTTAGAGAAAATAAGATAGGACCTAAACTTATCAAAGGCGAACACAACTGCTAGCATTTCCTTCTCTGTTGTTGTATAGTTCTTTTGAGCTTCATCAAGAGTCCTACTTGCATAGTAGATGACACATGATTTTCCTTCTTTCTTTTTCCCAAGCACGACACCCACTGCAAAATCACTCGCATCGCACATTAGCTCAAAAGGAAAGATCCAATCCGAAGCTTGCACAACGGGAGAGGAGATGAGAGCTTCCTTGAGCTTATGAAATGCCTCAAGGCAAGCCTCATTGAAGTTAAAAGCAACATCCTTTTTGAGTAATTCGGTCAAAGGTTTGGCGATTGACGAAAAATCTTTGATAAATCTCTAGTAGAAACTGGCATGCCCAAGAAAAGCTCGTACTCCCGTGATTGAATAGGAGGGGGGTAACTTCTCAATCACCGAAATTTTGGCCGGATCAACTTCAATGCCATTTTTTGAAACTTTATGGCCGGGGATAATACCCTCCTCGACCATGAAGTGGCACTTTTCCCAATTTATAACCAAACTCGTCTCTTGACACCTTTTCAAAACTTTTTCGAGGTTATAAAGACAAGTGTCAAAAGACAAGCCACCAACACTAAAATCATCCATGTAAACTTCAATTTCTTTTTCAAGCATCTCGGAGAAAATGGAGGTCATGCATCTTTGAAAGGTAGAAGGAGCATTGCATAAGTCGAATGGCATTCTTTGATATACAAATGTCCCATATGGACATGTGAAAGTAGTTTTCTCTTGATCGCTTGGATGGATAGGGATTTGGAAGAACCCGGAGTACCCATCCAAGAAATAAAAGAAAGCATAGTGAGAGAGTCTCTCAAGCATTTGGTCCATGAATGGGAGAGGCAAATGATCTTTCTTGGTATTTTTATTCAACCTCCTATAATCAATACACATTCTCCACCCGGTCACCTTCCGGGTGGAGATTTCCTCTCCTCCTTCACCCTTGATTATGGTCATCCCACCTTTTTTTGGAACCACATGAACCGGGCTAAACCACTTGCTATCGGAGATAGCATAGATGATGCCCGCCTCACATAGTTTCAAAATTTCTTTCTTGACAACCTCTTGGAGGTTGGGGTTCAACCTCCTTTGAGGTTCAATGGAGGTGGAATGATCATCTTCAAGATGAATACGATGCATGCATAAAGAAGGGCTAATACCTTTGTTATCATCAATGCTATACCCTATCACATCCTTGTATTTTCTCAAAACATCAAGTAGTTTTTCCAAATTAAGACCATCTAGGGTAGCATTGACTATAATAGGGTATTTTCCCTTTTTATCAAGATAAGCATATTTCAAAGAAGGGGGAAGGGACTTGAGCTCTACCTTGGGACTCTCCTCCAATTTCTCCTCCTTGGACTCAAGCTTGATCTCAACTTGTTATTCAACCTCCTCCTTTAAGATTCCTCTATTGCCATGACAAACTCTTTTGCCTCTTGAGGCTTCATCATGACCCTCCCCAAGCGATCTAACTTATCACTCACAACATCAACTCTATAGCATTTTTCAACCATGAGGGTCTTGAGCAACTTAGAAAACTCAAAGACAATCTTCTCATCGGCCACCTCACATGTGATGGTGTTGTTCTTGCAATTGATGACCGCCCCCAAAGTTTTAAGATCTTCACTTGACAAAACCAAAGGAGTGTTAACATCTTCCTCCATATCCATCACTACAAAGTTACAAGGCACGTAGATGTGTCCCACTTAAATTGGAACATCCTCAAGCTCTCCACAAGGTAATTTCACCGACCAATCGGCCAATTAAATTGTCTTCCTTGTAAAGATAATCTCTATATTGAGTTTTTGAGCAATGGATAGAGGGATTAAACTAACACTTGCTCCAAGATCGACTAAGGCGCCCCTAGCTTCCATGTTTCCGATTTTCAACGGCAAAGTGAAGCTTCCCGGGTCTTTTTCCTTCTTAGGAATCTTATGTTGGATAAGAGCACTCACTTGATGTGGAAGGGTGATAAGCTCATCATTGAGCTTCCTCTTGTTGGTGAGAATATCTTTGAGGAACTTGGAGTAAGATGGCATTTGTGTCACAACTTCAATGAAAGGGAGGTTGATGTGCAAATTCTTCGTCACACTAAGGAATTTTGCAAACTTGTCATTCAACTTCCTCTTTGCAAGTCGACCAGGAAAAGTAACCGGTCCATCAAGATTCCTAACCTCACTAGGAATTGAAGTTTTCTTCTCATTGTCAAGCTTCTTCTTCTCCGAACCTCCTTCTATCTCATCAACTTTTTCTTTCTCACCTCTGTTAACCTCATTCACACTCTCTTCTCCTCCCTTCCTTTCCTCATTACCCCCCTCATTTGGCCCTTCATAGGAAGTTCCCGACCTCAATGTAATTGCCTTGCATGTATCGGGTATTGAGTTATGAGAAGGGTTAGGTTGTGGTTGTCCGGGTAGAGTAGATGGTGAATTGAAAGGAGTTCTCTCGGCCAATTGAGCTAGTTGTGAGTCAACCATATTGTTTTGAGCTCTTATTTCTTGCATTTGTTGCCCAAAAGTTTGCATTTGTGCATGCATGGCTTGAAGGATTTGAGTTTGTGTTAGCTCCGCTTGAGGTGCTTGTTCTTGATTTCTTTGAGGTGCTTGGGTTTGCTTGTTGTATTGGTTGTTCCTTGGGTAGCTTCCTCTTGGGTTTTGGTGTTGAGATGGAGGTGGATTATGATATTGAGGGTTGGAATTGTAGGAAGGTTGAGCTTGTTGGTTCCATTGTTGAGGTTGAGATGCAAACCCGGGTGGTGGTTGTCTCCAAGCTACTCCACCGCCGCTTCCTCTAAATCCTTCTTGCCTTGTGTTGTATGCCGCAATAAGATGTATCATGGTTCGTTCCTCCACAATTTTGACAAGAGAAAGAGTTAACTTGAGAGGAGCTTGCTCCACCTCTTGCACTTGCACTCACACTCGTGTTCAACTTGGAAAGCCCTTTTGTTAGTTGATCAATTTGATATTGAAATTGATCAACTTTCTCCAATTCGTAAATCCCACCTCTTTGGAGCATTCCTTCTTCGCCCCCCCCCAAATAGTAGTTCTTTGCTACCTCTTTTATTGTTACTTCAACTTGATTTTGGGGGATTTTGATTAATTGACCACCCGCCCCTGCATCCAAGTTGGCTCTTAACATGGGCTCCAATCCGTCGTAGAAAAACCGCATGAGCAACCCTTGATTATACTCATGGTGAGGACACGCTTGCACCAACTCTTTGAATCTCTCCCAAGCTTCACCAAGACTTTCATCGGCTTCTTTCTCAAATGATACGATTTTCCTTCTCATTTCGGCGGTCTTCTCCTCGAAGATTAATCGCTTCAAGAACTCCTTTACCACCTCCCTCCATGTTGTGAGAGAGTTAGGCTTTATTTGCTTTAGCCATTTCTTTGCTTTTCCGATGAAAGATTACCGGAAGAGATGCATACGAATGTAGTCTTAGCTCACTTCATTGGTTTGCATCATCGCGCACAACTCAGGGAATCGGTCTAAATGTTCAATGAGGTCCTCACTTGCACTTCTGGAAAATTGCTCCGATTGGACCATTCTAGTATATTGGGGATGGATTAAGAAGTTGGTTTCCGTGACGGTTACCAAAATCCCTCCCGTGAGCTCATATTCTTCTAGATTTCAAAACTCACGAAACAAAACATCATCTTCTTGTCCCGCCATTGATCTGCTTTGCGAACTTGAAGAGTAGGAATCACTCTCACTATCAACTATGGCACCAAGACCTCTTCCCTCTTCTTGATAAAGCCTACGGACTTGTCTCAAAGTTCGGTCAATCTCGTGGTCAATTTAATGTGTGGGTGGTCCTTGAGATCTCCTAAGCATTCACCAAAGCTAAGCAAACAATTAGCAATGACAAGGATGATAAAACAAACAAAACAAAAATAAAAGCAAGTAAAATGACTCTAACAAAAGCAAAAGTAGATGCTAAACAAGCCGCTTCCCCAGCAACGGCGCCAAAATTTGATCGAGGGTTAGATATGTCGTTAATCTACTACCCTAATCAAATTAATCATTTATATTCCTAAACTACCCTAATTACAAGTATAGGGGCATGTAAAGGGTCGAACCACTAAGGAATCTCACTTATTCAACATCAATTTTAACTAATGCAAGAGTAAAAAGGGGAATGTTTTTGTGGATTTTTGAATAAAGAGCACTAAAACTATAAATAAGCAAAAAAAATAATGATTAAAATCAAGAGAGAACGACTCTAGGAATACGGGGGTGTCAAACATGATTAGAAAGAGGGGAGAAATAATGGTTATCATGAAGAACATGCCAAAGAACACAAGATTCTACCTAAACAATTCATTCTCATGCAATAGTATGTCTAGGCAAATTAATGAAAAAGGTCTATACTAATAAGGATTATTCTCATGCATCCTATTAGTTACAATCAAATCAAGAGAATAAAGAAGCACAATTCATAAAACTCCACCCTTTAATAACTCATTCTCATGCAATCATTAAAATAGAGATGATCTTAATCTAGTTCAAATCACTTTCATGCATTTAAACTAGAAAACATCAAATAAAGTGCCACAATAATCTCAAGTTGTCAAAAATCATGTCTTTCATCAATTTATGGCATGAGTTCAATCCAACCATTATCATTCATCCAATATCAAAACATATTTTCCACCCCCTTCCCCTAGCTAAGAAATTAGCCTAGAGAAGGGAGATTAAACATAATATCAAAACTATAAATAAACTCAAGAAACACAAAACAAAATATGATTCAGAATAGTGAAATCAATAATAACTAGATGAACTAATAAGATTAATGAAAATAAGCAACAATAAAGCAAATAAATAAAGCTAAAAGAAAGGATTAGAGATAACTAAAGAGAGGATTAATGAAATATGAAAAATTGAAGTGTTGCTTGATTGAAGATTAAACTTGACCAAAGTTGAATATAATAAAGGAAACTTGAGTAATAATCCACTTTTTCTCCTTAGATTAAGCTAAAATTCAGAAATTAGAACTAAGTTAATCTTCTTGCCTCAAAACGTTCTAAAACGGGACTTATATAGTCCGTACACAGCTGGCTAAAGTCGGGAAAAGGTTCGACCGAACATAGGGTAGGTTCGGTCGAACATTAGGGTGAGTTCGGCCGAACCATGGGTAGGTTCGGTCGAACCTCCCTGCTCCTGGCTCGGTCGAACTTCAGGGGTTCAACCGCTTCTACAAAATGCTGAAATCTGAAAAGTTCCTGCTTCCAAAGTTCGGTCGAACCTTGTGCAGGTTCGGTCACACCCAAGGTTTTGGGTGTGACCGAGCCTTTCAAAGAGTTCGACCACACCTCCTCTAGAACTTGCTTTCTTCAGCTCCAATTTGACTTAAGCCTTCTCCTCTTTGAAGACCCCGGTTCCTACAAAACACAAGCATGGGAATTAAAGTAAAGAGTAGGCAAAATCTAGGAAAAAGGAAGATAAAAGAGAAGGGAACTAAGTGCAAGGAAAATGATGCAAACAAGCCGCAATGTAAGAAAATAGCCATTAAAATGAACCTTAATCATGGCATAAATGCCACTCATCAGTAGCTAGGGCCGAGCATATGGGAGGCATGTAGGGTGAGGGACATGTGGCACAAGGAGAGTATGGAGTGGGGAGCAAGTATGGTCCCCTACTCTCCAAGTGGTCCTCACTTCCCTTTACATGTATAATGACACTTGTAGATTTATTATTATTTTGATATTTTATTTTAACTTTAAAATAAATTGTGGAATTTCATGATCCCACATTAATGGGATAGAAATTCCCACTTTCACTCTTCCCTATAAATACCCACCTTGGGTTTTTGGGAAGAGTGCTTGAGTAGGAGTTCAATAGAGCATTACATTTTGCAAAAACTCTTAAACTCATATAATACTCGGGTTTTGGTCGGACCTCGCTAACCTCGAGGTAACGGACCTAAAAGTCGGTAGTTGTTTTTGCGGTGGATCTCCATCGGAGGCTCTCGTGTTTTCGGTGCTAAGCTTTCAAGTAAGAGCCCAATTTGTCGGGCGAAGCACGCGACAAAGGTATATTTCCTTTTTGCCCTTTTGTGTTTATTTTATGCATTAGTGATATTATTTATTGCGAGTGTGATCCTTGGCTCCGGTTTTTTCCGCAGTGAGTGGGACTCACCAAACCCTAACAGATCAAGGTTATTATTATTATTATTATTATTTAAGTTGGCTAACGATATTATTGTTAAATTGCTTCCAATACTAATGTTAATCTTATTATATTTATATGATCACCATATTGCATGTTTAAAGGGAATATGTGGTTGAAAATCACGCCTAATAAGATAATTTGGACAATCGGTTTAGGATCCTTTTTAATCTTGTTATTCAATCAAAGTGATCACAGTATCTTAAAATAATATGTTTCATTAATATTTAACCAATTTAGCATAATTATTAATTTGGAGCAAATTGAATCTTTGTTTGCATGCCATTGAGATCACAGGAAATATTTTCCGCTATAAGAATCGAGTAGAGACTAATGTGACTCACTTCGTACCATCATCCCTGATCCTCCTTTCGTGAATCTAAACCATATAGAGTTAGTAATCTCATGGATTATGATGTATGGGGTGTAACCTTCATAGGTCAATCGTTGTTTCCTACCGTTGTCCCTTATCGTGGTTACTTTATAATGATCAGTGAACAGTTCACAAGTTCCTTAAAAACTTGTTGGCAACTCCCTACTTTCCTTGTCCCTTATCGTTGTCCATAATCATATATGTCAATTCCTACTTCCTATGAGTATCAAGCATACTCACAACATGCTTAACGTAGGCGCGCTGACGCTTATAGGGTTGTTTCGTTGGATTTTGGCGAGTTTTGGGGATCAAGGTGGCGGTTTCAGGGGTCGGTTCTAGGTTAGGTGGGTTGTGGAAGGCCAATTGGCCAGTTTTGGAGGTTTCGGTGGTTGGGGGTTTGCTGGGGAGGTGGTTTTGGTGGTTAGGGCTAAAGAGATGGTTTTGGTGGTCGAGGGTTGGCTGGGAGGTGGTTTCGGAGGTCGGAAGTTGGCTGAGATGTGGTTTCGGTGGTCGAGGGTTGGCTGAGAGGTTAATTGGTCGAGAAAAGGTGGCCGACTGGATTCCTAAGATGTTAGGGATTGACGGGGTGGCTGGGAATTGTATGGGATTTTATTGTTTTTTTAAATGTTTTTATTTTTTAAAATTTTTTAAAATGTTAGCTAGGGTTTTAAGTCTGGTGGGGTGGCCGTTTATGGGGTCTGGGTGACAGTTTATGGGGTCTGGTTGGTGGATTCTGGAGTCTAGGTGTTGGTGGTTTTGGTTCTGAGTCGGTCGGAAGTTTTGGGGTCTGTGTTTGGGTGGTGGTGAGGATTATTTGGCTGAAGTGGTGTGGTAGAGGTGCTGGTGTTTTTTTTAATTTGATTTAATTTTTTTTTTTAATTTGGAAACATCAAGTTGTGACACTTATAAACTAATCTTAATAAAAAAAATTAAAAAAAAAATTACCTCTTCAACCGGTTACTAGTCACTCGGGACCATTAT